TTGTTTTTAATGGCTGAGTAGCATTCCGTTGTATAAACGTACCACAGTTTCTTTATCCATTCTTTAGCTGAGGGACCTGTAGGTTGTTTCCATGTTATGGTTGATATGAACATGATTGGGTAATTGTCCTTGTTGCATGATAGAGAACTTTTTGGGTGTATAGCTGGAACTTGAGGTAGCACTATTCCTAATCTTCTGAGAAAGTGCCAGATTGATTTCCAAAGTGGTTGTACAAGGTTACATTCCCACCAGCAATGGAGGAGGGTTCCCCTTTCTCCACAACCTCTCCAGCATGTGTTGTCACTTGAATTTTTAATCTTGGCCATTCTGACAGATGTAAAATGGAATCTCAGAGTTGTTTTGATTTGCATTTCCCTGATGACTAAGGATGTTGAGCATTTCTTTGAGTGCTTCTCCACCATTTGACATTCCTCTGTTGAGAATTCTCTGTTTAGCTGTGTCCTGTTTTTTTTTAATGAATTTTTATTTTTTATATTAATTACTGTGTCCCATTTTAGTTGGATTATTTGGTTTGTTGGTGTTTAATTTCTTGAGTTCTTTATATATTCTGGAATTAGCCATTTCTTGGAAGCAGGACTGGTGAGGATCTTTTCCCAATCTGTAGAACGCCGTTTCATTCTATTGATATTGTCCTTCACCTTGCAGAAGCTTTTCCATTTCAAGAGGCCACATTTATTAATTGTAGGTCTTAGAGCCTGAGCTGTTGGTGTTCTGTTCAGGAAGCTGTCTCCTGTGCCAATGAGTTCAAGGCTCTTACCCACTTTCTCCTCTAGCAGAGTTAGTATCTGATTTTCTGTTGAAGTCTCTGATCCATGTGAACTTGAGTTTTGTGCAGGGAGATAAGAAAAGAAAACTGAACAACAAAAAACAAATAAAAAAAAAACAAGTCAAGACTGAGAAAATTGTCTCAAAAAAGCCATTGGCCTCACTGTGTTAGTCAGTGTATTGTGACTTTTCTGTTACTCCATCAAAGGAAGAGCCTATTTGGGTGATGGCTCCAGAGGGAGAGCCTGTACTGAGATGGCATGGCAAGCAGGTGGCCAGATCAAGAAGCTTAGAGCTCACGTCTCATTGGCACACAGAAAACAAGAAGTAGAGTGAGGCTATAAACTCCCAAACCCAAAGCCCATTCCTCAAAGATTTGCTTCCTCTAGCAAGGTTCCCTTTCCTAAAATTTCTACAACCATCCGCAGGCAGAGCCACCAACTGGGGATCAAGTGTTCAAATACAAGAGCCTAATGGGGATACTTTTCACTCAAACCACCACTTTCAGGGGTTTTTGTTGTTGTTGTTTGTTTTGTCTTGTTTGTCACTGTGACTAAATAATCTGAGAAAAGTCAATTTAGAGGCGGACATTTTTATTTTGGCTCATAGTTTCAAGCAATGGTTAATTGTCTCCATTTTTTTTTTTTTTGAGACAGAATGTCATAGAGGAGAGCATCCTTGAGAGGTAAAAAGGAGGGAGGGAGAGAACAAGTGGAAGAGAGAGGGGCTGCTAACAAGACATAATCCCCCAAGGGCATACCTTGAAAGTTCCAGTCCCTTCACCTAGATATCACCACTTAAGGCTTCTATTAGCCCATCAAATTATTATCCTGCTAAAGGAATAATCTACTGATGAAGCCAGACCCCAATAGATCTAGTAATTTCTGCAAAGCTAGTACATAGCATCTTAGCACAGGCCTTTATGGCATATTTTTGATCCAAACCATAATATTTATACTGGCCTAGATTTAGTAGGAAGTAGATAAGATTATGGGCTTTATTCCAGAAAGGCAATACTCATGGTCCATCAAGCCAGAGTTTTCAGAAACAGAGAAATACAAGGCAGAAATACAAATGAGAAAAAAAAAATTACACTTGTTTTATGTTCCTGTCCCCATGACAGAATCAACAGTTTAGGATTTTTCTGTTGTCTTTCCAGGGGTGGGAAAACATCCGGTTCCAGTCAATCAATTTGAAGTTATCCATGGTCAGTCCAATTTCCCCATCACTTATCTCTCAGGACATGGTTGAGTACCCTGCTGTTCTCAATGAAGCTCAAGATCTGCCATATGATAATGTGATTTACTACATAGCAACTGGCCAAAGAAAGAGTATTCACAAGAGCAAATCATTCTGCCTGCGTATCCAGACATAGTCTTTATTTGTGACAGAGATATGAATATAATTTCTGCTTTAGTCTATTATCATGAAAAGGAGACAAGCCTGGAGGAGGGATAATGATTAAAGTGCAGGAAATTAGTGAACCTTTAAATATTGAAATGCAGTTTAGATGTTACATGGCACTAACCTAGAACTCACTGTACTTAAGCCCAATACCTTCCATCTGACTTTTTGTCTCCATTTATACTCCCAAATCAAAAAGACCTTTAAGCTGCTATGCAGAGGCTGTTGGGATCAGTAAGCAGGCACTTCTATGGCCAGCCCCATAGACCGGTTATCAGGCATTTGTGAAGACACCCTGACCACCTGGAATTACCTGTGCATGCCCTTGATCACCCTATAAGAGAACTGGAACCCTCATCCTCTCTCTCTCTCTCTCTCTCTCTCTCTCTCTCTTCTTCCTCTTCTGCTCCCTGATTCTTCCTTTCTCTCTCCCTCTCTCTGTAACCCCCTTTCCCTAATAAACCTCCCACATGGAACCAATCTCGTGGTGTGATTTGAGAACCCGCGTGTAACCTTCACATTCGCACATTTCCTAACAGAGGCAGCTAATGAGCAAGAGAGAGGTGATAGAGCAGTACACATTCAAGTCAATATTGATTTACCTCCGTGTTAGCAGAGAATGAAATTGACCTACAACCTCATACAATGGTAACTGTAACTCTCACTCTTCCATATAAAGACTCATGGATTAAAAACCCAAACCACCCTTGGTGTTTCCAGGTGGCAGTAATCCGCAAACTCCATCAAGATCATCGGGAGAGCAGTGCTCCATGTTTTAGGATGGGTATCGCCATATAGTGTACACCCAGTCTAGCCACCCACAAACTCTGTTTTGAGTTCAAACTAGTAGGGTTGTCCAAAACAAAAGTAACTACACATGGCCCATCATGTCAATCGGTCATGCCAGTCTTTTCAGTGAATATGTGTGGCATATTTTATCAAAACAGCATAATTGAAGGCAGGAACCTACATTGTGCATAATTTACTCTACTGTGAAAAAGAAAATTGATGCACTTAGCATTTTGTTTGCTAAGAGGAAAACATGTTTTCTTGTCATTTGGTTTTCTTAATATATATTAAACTATTTCTGGAGCAACTACAACAACAACAAAAAATATTGAAATGCAGGCTAGTAACAGCCACAATGTCAGCTGATCTCCATGGCAAGAATTTGAGAATTTCTTCATTGACCTGTAAGCACTGAGAACCAACATCAGCCAGTGAAGAAAGGGAATAATACCCAGAACTCTCTGAGTTCTAAAATGTCAGGATGAACAATCAGATGGCAAGGAAACAAGGAAGATGGAGAGGGAACAACAACCAAGCATCGATACATTGTATCCTCTAGAGGGTCTATCTCAAGCAGGGCAAGAAAATGTTTGGTGATGGCTCTCTGGGTCACGGCATCCGCTCAGGAAAACTGAGCCAGAGAGCCCCCGAAACTGCAGGTTCCAGCCAGCAGCAGGAAGGTTGACAACAGAGCCATTTCCTATGCCTCCTTTGACACCGGGTCCAGGCTTTGAACGGTTGCACCAGCCTCGTGTTTTTCTGGTGGTGTGCCAGCGCAGTCTAGGTGAAATACTTACTTCACCTCTTTCAGGCCAGCCATCCCACAGTAGTTCCCAGCTCCATTCCTAATTGTCTGAGAAAGCACCAGATTGGGGGAGGGTTCTCCTTTCTCCTCAACCTTTCCAGCATGTGTCATCCCTTGATTTTTTTTTCCCCTAGCAATATTTATTTATTTATTTTACTATTATAATTTCTTACAATTTATTCAATTTGTGTCCCAGCTGTAGCTCCCTCCCTTGTCTCCTCCCAATCCCACCCTACCTCCCTCTTCTCCTGCTATGCCTCTCTCTTAGTCCACTGATTTAGGAGGTCCTTCTCCCCTTCTATCTGACCCTAGCCTAGTAAGTCTCATCAGGACTGGTTGCATTGTCTTCCTCTGTGGCCTGGTGGCTCCCAGGGGGAGGTGATCAGAGAGCCTGCCACTGAGTTCATGCCAAAGAAAGCCTCTGCTCCCCTTACTAGAGACCTGTTGAAATTTTTTTGTTTAGTTGTGTTCCCCATTTTAAAATTGGATTACTTGGTTTGTTGGTGTTTAACTTCTTGAGTTCTTTATATAGTCTGGATATTAGCCCTCTGTCAGATTTAGGGTTAGTGGAGAATCTTTTCCCAGGCTATAGGTTGTCATTTTGTTCTGTTGACAGTGTACTTTGCTTCACAGAAGCTTTTCAGTTTCAGGAGGTCCCATTTTTTGATTGTTGATCTTCAAGCCTATGCTGTTGGTGTTCTGTTCAGGAAGTTGTCTCCTGTGCCAATGAGTTCCAGGCTCTTCCCATTTTTCTTCTAACAGTTGTTAGCATGTCTGGCTTTATGTTGAGGTCTTTAATCCACTTGGACTTTAGTTTTGAGCAGAGTGATAAATATGGATCTATTTGCATTTTTCTACATGTAGACATCCAGTTACACCAGCACCATTTGTTGAAGATGTTGTCTTTTTTCCATTGTATGGTTTTGGCATCTTTGTCAAAAATCAAGTATCTGTAGGTGTGTGAGTTTATTTTTGGATCCTCAATTCAATTCCATTGATCCACCAATCTGTTTCTACGTCAGTACCATGTCATTTTTATTACTGTTGCTCCGTAGTACAGCTTGAAATCAGGGATGGCAACACCTCCAAAAGTTCTTGTATTGTTCAGGATGGTTTTAGCTGTTCCAGGTCTTTTGTTTTTCCATACGACCTATCACTCACAAATACACAGAAGGAATTCTTCACATACCTCCATGAGTACTAATTGTTTCTTTTTCAGGGGAGAGCACAAACACAGTCCCCCACTACCACAAATTATGCAGTAGAGTTTCCAGCATTTGGGGAAATCACAGGAGTCAGCACATCTGGAGTGCAATGGCTGAGCCTCGCGCTGGGGCCCTGGAAAAACCACCTTCGTGATCATGGTATCTCCCCTGCCAGGTGAGCACTAATTATGTGGAGAATTATTGATAAAACAATATTTCTGTTGGGAGCCCTGCAGAGTGGTAAAGTATAGGAAGTGTTGAAACAAGGCTAAGATACCTCCCACCAAAAATGGCCTCCTGTAACCTAGAAACTGAATTACAGTAGAAGCTCTAAATTTTGTGATTGATCAGAATACTCGTAAGCCGACACTGATACGAGGCTCATCAGGCACATTTTTATAAAATGGAGTAATATGTCATAAGTGTTAGAACGGCTAAAGGCCACCATAGCATCATTTTCTTGTTAAGTAATTAATAGCATATTCATAGAATCAATGTTTAAAAGAGTGCAAGAATAAAATCGTGGCTGGCGACACAACTTTTGGCATCAGGTATGTTGGAATTAAATCCCAGGTATACTACTTACTAGCTGTGTGGCCTTGAGAGTTATTTTCCTTCTTTGCATCTTAATTTCCTCATCTATAAAATGAAAGCTTATGGGCTCTTAGGCATAGTAAAGCATGAAAGGGTAGAGGAAGGATTGAGGAAGTTCTGGGGTGGTTGGAGAAGAGAGAAGTTAAAGGGGAAATGCGGGTAACTAAAATTATACAAGGAAAATACATTGAGATTAATATGAACAGCAACAACAAAAAGTAACACACTAAAAATATTCACATGAGAATAGACCTTAAAACCTCAACCTGACCTTTGTATACCAAATCGAATTCTACCAAGCTAGGGAACTATATAAAGATTATTGAACATGATTAGAATAAATATATCAAACAAGCCCCACATGCTTAGTGAATTTTATACATTTTGTTCACTTCCATGTCCACTGTACTTATGGAATGAATGGCTGTATGCTGGTAACTGTTAAGACACAAAATCTTGGTTCCTCAGTAAGGGAGGAAACCAATAAACATATAATGCGTGAACAAAGGACATTATGCCTTGTGGGTGATTGTTGATCCTGTGTGCAGCTCTGCAAATTCTTTCGGTCATAATAGCCAAGGGATGAAGGTGAGGTTTTAAAAATTAGATGAGCCAATTATTGCTTAGACATTCCCTGTGTCTTTGTTCCCCCTTTATCCCCGCACTTTTTGTAGGTAGGGTAGTTTTTGGATCAAAGGTTTTTTGTTTGTTTGTTTTTTGTTTGTTTGTTTGTTTTTTGTTTTTTTGGTGGGTTGTTGTTCCCCTCCTAGATCACTAGTCCCTGCACATATGTGCTCAATGGGTGGCTTGGTCTTCATATGGTTTGCCTGGTGAGTGGATGGGCAGGGTACTGTTTTTAACATGGACTCTATTAGCTGCTTTTGGATCACTTCCCCCTGGCAGCAATGCCTCGCCTGGCCTCAGGGGTTGAGGATATGCTCAGTCCTGATGTGACTTGATGTGCTAGGGAGAATTGATATGGTGCGAAGGGGCTCCCCTTTTCTTGGGGGAAAGAGAGAAGAGAAGGAAGAAGGAGAGAAGGAGGAACTGGAGGGAGGGGAAGGAGGCAGTACCCTTGGGATGTAAAGTAAATAAACTGAAGTTTTTAAAAAAGGAATGCACACACCATCTATTTCATCGAAAAATAAAAAAATAACAATTAGATGAGATGGCATGATACTTAAAGTTTACTTCAGCGCTTTCGCAAAACATTGCTGTAACATAATGGAGGCTTTGAGGGGCAGGTAAAGTAACCAACAGTTTAATAAACCCTTCTGCTGTTGGGCTGAAGACCAGAGCTATTAAACAAAAAGAAGGCAGGGTATAAATAGTTAGGGGTGTGAGGAGACAGGTGGAGAGTGGGGAAAGAAAGAAAGAGAAAATAACAGAAGGCAACGTAGGAAAGCTCAGACTTGCAGGTTCTGGTGAGTGTTTTATTCAACTTGATACACGCTAGGGTCATTTGGGAAGCGGCAACCTCAGCTGAGGAATTACTTCCATCAGACTGGTAGGCAGGCAAGTCTGTGGATAGTTTTTCTTTAATTAATGGCTAATATAGGAGGGTCCAGCTCTCTCCCCTGGGCAGGTGGTCAAGGGTTGTACAAGAAAGCAGGCTGAGCAAACCATGGCCATGGTGCCAGGAAGCAGTATCTCTCTACCCTGTCTAGCTTCCAGGTTTCTGCACTGAGCTCCTACCCTGGCTTCTTGTCCTGATGTCCCCTCGCGATGGATTGTAACTATAAGCTAAAATAAGCTCTTTCCTCCCTGAGTTGCTTTTGGTCATAGAAACCTAAGCCATGCAGTTACTTCCCAATTTATATTTGTGAAATTCGCTCCTGTGTTAGAACTCACTGCTACGTGCCTAACACCTTGTTTGGTGGGGGTAATATAACATACTGGCTATGAGCTCAGCTCTGAGGCAGAGAGATGAGAGTCGGTTTGCCCTTTTCTAGTTCTGGGACTTCAAATCTGATTGATCCTCAGCTATTTTTACTCTTCTGTATAAGAGAATTAGCCTATAGAAATATATACTGCAGAGGAGTTTTTTTTTTTTTAAGTTTGAATCTAATAATAAATCCTAGAATATGACATAGTTTTTTAAATTTTTTATTAATTACACTTTATTCACTTTGTATCTCCCCTGTGGTTCCCTCCCTCCTGTGGTCCCAATCCCTCCCTTCCTCCACCCTCTGCATACATGCCCCTCCCCAAATCCACTGATAGGGGAGGTCTTCTTTTCCTTCCTTCTTGATCCTAGTCAATTAGGTCTCCTCAGGAGTGGCTGCATTGTCTTTTTATGTGGCCTAGTAATGCTGCTTCCCCCTCAGAGGGAGGTAATTAAAGAGCAGGCCAATCAGTTCATGTCAGAGACAGTCCCTGTTCCTATCACAATGGAAACCACTTGGACACTGAACTGCCATGGGCTACATCTGGGCAGGGGTCTTAGGTTATTATCAGTACCATCATTACTACTGAGGTGCTAGGATACTCCAGTTCATTACCTTGAGGCGGATCAGCAGTTCGAGGAATAGAAGAAAGAGAAAAGCACTCCTAACTCAGGAACCCACCTGAAGCCTCTTGCCAGCAGATAAACGAGAATTCCAGCAAATAGCAACTGCTTACAGCTGTTCTTCCTTCACAAGCACCAACCCACAATTTTCTAGGACTCTCACCAGAAATCCCAGTTGCCAGGGAATGTGCTAAAACCATCGTGCAACTCTAGAAGCTTCTGGATTTACCTTGTCTGATTATAACTTGGTCCAATGTATCTCCAGAGACACCCTATAATCTCACTCATCCATAGAAAGAGGAGAAAGCTATCTTTAGAAATGTAGCCTCAGAGCAGTCAAAATGGTATATCAAAAAAAAGGGGGGGCTATGGTTTTGAGAGAGAGCAAGGAAAGATGCTTGGGAATGATAGGAGAGCCAAAAGGGAGACGTTTAAAGATGCAATTGTATTATAACCTCAAAAACAAAATATTATAAAAAATAAAAAAATGTCGCAAATAAAGAAAAGAAAAACAGCATAAAAAGGAAAAATCTCTTTTAAAATGCTATATGTACCTAATACTAAGAGTTGCAATTCTCCTTTGAGGAGCACAGAACCACTCTTGGGTATATCAATTTCTCTCCCTTCAGAAACACATTCCCATACTTGGGTTTATCTTTCTGTGTCTCCCTGTTAGAGAAGTCCCCATCTTGGCATGGATGTAACCTATTTTCTCCTTAAGTACCTCTTTTTATCTCTTTACCCCCATCCTACATTAAAATAACTTTATTAAACCCCAAATTTGCATCATAAACTGGCTCATCCTAAATTTTTTTTTTCTACATCAAAACCACAAATCCAAGTTTGGCCTAGTTTAGGTCCCTAAAGTCTAGGGGTAGCTCTCTGGGCTTCTGAACATGGAAGTGTAGATGTGTCACTATTTCCTCACTGTTGATAATATGCTGCGTTATGGGAAAAGCAGCTAGGAAATGTGATCATGGCTGGAGCTTCTGGAGGAGTATCTCAAGTCTCTGTCCCCTGTGTTAGCCTCATACAAACCATACACAACTATTTGTCCTTTCCATTCACTTTGGTTACACAAAATAGATTTTTACATTTTGCTGACAGAGTAAGTGAATCCAGGGAAAATAACATAGTTGGCCTGGGATCCTAAGGTGAACCATAACTATCATAATTCCCCAAAGCCTAGTCTTGAGTTTACCCAAACAAACTATGGTCACCATGGATTCAGCAATGAGTCAACACTAAAGATATTTGGAACTGGTTTTAAACAACCCTAGAATATATTACATTTTTGTTTTGCACAAAAGAATGAACTGAAACAGGGGACTGGAGAATAAAAGACAGTGAAATTAAGTAAGTAGGAAGTTTTGTTTATTAACCATGTTCTTAGCAGCTTTAGTCATAATGGCCAGAACCTGGAAACAACCCAGATGTCCCTCAACTGAGGAATGGATACAGAAATTGTGGTACATTTACGCAATGGAATACTACTCAGCAATTAAAAACAAGGAAATCATGAAATTTGCAGGCAAATGGTGGGAACTAGAAAAGATCATCCTGAGTGAGCTATCCCAGAAGCAGAAACACACACATGGTATATACTCACTTATAAGTGGATATTAGACATATAATATGTGATAAACATACTAAAATCTGTATATCTAAAGAAGCTAAGCAAGAAGGAGGACCCTGGGTAAGATGATCAATCCTCATTCATACAGGCAAACAAATAGACATTGGAAGAGTGAGAAAACAGGGAACAGGACAGGAACCTACCACAATGAGCCTCTGAAAGATTCTACCCAGCAGGGTATCAAAGCAGATGCTGAGACTCATGGATAGCCAAACTTTGGGGAGAGTGCAAGGAATCTTATGAAAAAAGGGAGAGATGAAAGACCTGGAGGAGACAGGAGCTCCACAAGCAGAGCAACAGAACCAAAAAATCTGGGCACAGGGGTTGTTTCTGAGACTGATACTTCAACCAAGGACCATGCATGGCGATAACCTAGAAACCCTTGCACAGATGTAGCCCATGGCAGCTCAGTGTCCAAGTGGTTACCCTAGTAAGAGGAACAGG